AGTGAGAAAAAAAAATCATATATATTAATGAATAGTGAGACCTTATTGGATCATATATATTAATGAATAGTGAGACCTACTTGTTCTCGTCGAAGTTGTATAAAAAACTGTTTTCTTTTAAAAGAGATTTTAACTATTTTTGACCATGAAAATACATTAATTTTTATACCATTCTGAAATACAACCAGACCAATTGATGTAACACCTAACTGTATTTCTTTATTTGTTGAATCCTAAAAAGCAAGCAAAATATCTATGTATATGCTTATTCGATAAAAATATTTTTAAAAATCGAATATCCATTACATACCCTTGCTTTATGTAATTCCACTCCATACATATCTAAGCGTTTTGCATGATCTAGAAAATTAAATTCCGCATCGGCTGGCAATTGTCCCCTATAGATAAAAATTTATTTAATATTAAAATAAGTTACAAAATTTATAAGACATTGTAAAAAAATAAACGAACTTGTGCAATTTATGTAACTCTGATATTTTCTTTTCCATTTCTTCAGTTTGTCCAGGTATCAATTGTAACTGTGAAAGATAACCTGGCCCATGTTCTTCTGGATGATAATCTCCTAATTCCGCTATACACATATGGAATAAAAAAGATGTATTTCTTTTATTAATTTGTATTTTAAGGCTGAAATTATAATATTGTCTCTCAAACTTACATTGAACTGTATAACTGGCAATTAAACAAGCTGTACTAGATGGTAATTGAAGTTTTCCTTGAAGAATATCTCTACGTATTTGTAAATAAAATTGATATCTGGTATATTCTTCCTGCAGCTTACTAGGATCAGATACATAAAATTTTACTCTAAAAAAGAAATGTCCACCTGGAACAAGTAAATATATGTTGTGCACTTGTGACCATATAACATGAAAAAATAATCGACTAGAAAATATATTTAACTTTTTTATAATTATAAATATTTTATTAAAGGAAATAGGATCTTTACCCTTACTTCTTATCTGCTTTTTCACCGGTTTAGAGGGGTCCAGCCATCTCTGAAAATATTTATATTAAAAATTAATCATTATTTCTTTTAAATATCTTTTAATTACGTGTTATAAAATTTGTATATACTATGTAATATTAAAAAAATTAAAATTAAATAATATTCGTATCATATATTAAAACAGTTTTAATTCTAATTCTAACATTTTACATTACCATTACATCAGACGTAGGAATAGTTGTGCTAATTCCATTTTCAGCGTATTGTAAACCAAAATAATCCTTTTCAATGAGTTCCAAATGTTGAAATACCAAGTCTAATAAAACTTGCCCTTTTGCTCGTTTCTGTGATACATAATTTATTTTTTCTTGAATATTTGAATTATTAGACTCACAAAAAAATATAATAGACTTACATCTAATTGAAACGTATGCTGTGTATCATCTAGGAAAGTAACGGTGGCTGACAAAGATTTTAATCTACGATTCCTCGCTAATTCGGCACCACGAACGTGGTAGCTCCCACTGGAGCCACTCAACGCTCTACGCGATACACTTTCGATCATCTCAAATATATGAAGGTGTGTCAACCACCTTCTCGACACCACCTCTCTGCTATGCTGACTACCTGTATTGAAAATTAAACAAATTATTAAATGTGTATTGCACAAATAAAAAAATACATATAATCTGCTAACGATTATTTAATGTATTTCACTGTGCAATATATAAAACTTGTGTATATAAAAATCTTAAAAATATATTTAATTTCCTTTTGTAAAATTTAATATAATTTATCCATATATTTTACAAAACATGTATTAAAGTTAAAACCAGTTATATACAAAAATAATGCAAAGACTCAATTATATACCAAGGATTAGGCCAAGTTAGTAAATAATTAAATTGAAATACATAAAACATAGCACGCAGTGATTTTACATACATGTTTCAATGATACATATTTACAAGTATACGAGAATATTATCATTCTATTAGAACTGTAAATTTTGTTGATTGTAGAGTAACAAAAATTTGCAAAAGCATATCTCTTCTTTGCATTCAAATTATTTATTAATAGATATGTTTTAAACATAAATGAATAAAAAGATTTTGTTAAAATATGTTTACGCAAAGATCTATATTTTTCAGCTATGTTCTTCAAAATGCTGTGTGTATTTTTCTTTCTTTTCCTATATCTTATTCTTTTCTTTTCTTTTTGATAAATTTGAATTATATGCTCCATTTTAAATGTTAAAAGAAAGCATAGCTGAAAAGATGAAAGCTCTCTTTGCAAGTGAAAACAGTTTTGTTAATCAACACTTCAAATCACAAATAAATATATGAAAATATAATTACATTCTAGGGATGTCATTAAAAATGAGTTTACCAAGATTTTAGGTCAATAATCCAATGTGAGTTACATAATCAAATTGCCATCTACCGTATGCCAGAATAATACAGAATGGGAATATTCTGAAAATAGTTTACACAAAAAAAACAGAGAAAGGGACTACAAGAGATCAACTGCATGTCGCACAATCAAATTTCCAGAACTAGCCATTAATATTGACAAATGTATATTCGCATGTATCAACAATCAAGTTTGCAATTATTGTAAAATTAGATGAGAAATATACATTAGATTGTTTAAACTGCAGTACGAAGACGATGAAGAACATGAAAAATAATTACGTCATCCGACATGCAAAATCATTCCTCGACCAGAGACGCGGGATGTGGTTCTAGATAGTAAAAAAAAATGGTATCCCACGGATAATTCGAGATTCGGCGAGTTCGCTGGGGGAAAGCCTGGGATACTCACGTTCATGATACAAACGACACGTTTTACTCGCGTTTGCCGTGAAACCCTGCGCGCAGAATTCGGCAAACCGTTCCAAATGTACATACGACACTAGGAACCGCGCTTTCCTCGGGACGGCGTTGAGTTCTCGGGCAAGACAGGCACGGGCCTCTTTTCATAATTTCGCGGATCGCGCAACCACGGTCCACCCAAGGTGGATGTGTGTCATTCCGGCGCGGCGGGGCAACAAACTATCATGCATTTCCACGCACTGTGAATCGCGCCTCCCGACGCCCCGCCACAAACGAATTTCTAATCCACCACCTTCCTCGGCTCTTTCATCCTCGCCGATATATACGTATAAGGCAACGTGCGAGTAGTCGATTGCGGCCCCGACGAGCGGCGACGTTCGAGTCGATCAGTCAATCGCGGATAAAAGCATTCCGCAATTACGCGAGCGAGCTTACAAAAATATATATACGCGCATATATGCGGAATCTATTCAGGTGCAGCATATGTATATATATGTACAGTGCTGTGCATTAATGATGTTCTTTTGGGTGTAGAAAGGTGTAGAAACGATATATGTAAGTGCCTATATTGCCCAGACAACTTGTGCGTAAATATATAAATATGTGAATAAGGCCTTTTCATGCCTTTCATGCCTTTTCATGCTGACGCTCGACGCTCATTTTTAATATCAAAGTAGGTCACGTGATCCAAATCGACGCGGAAATAATGAAATTTGTATAGTCATTTTTTGATCATGTGATCTTTGACAGTGAAAATATGCGTCAGCATAAAAAAGCATCTTAAAAAAATTATTCAATTGCATTTTTATCGTAAGAATGCACATAAAATGCGATTGGATAATTTTCTTTATGCACAGCACTTTATGATTGCGCAGCTATGCAAATTTGTATGGATAGATTCTGAATATCTTTCTCGCGCTTCTTCAAGGAAATACGCAGAGGAAGTCTAGAGGTGGCGCGCGTATCTGCACTTATCTCCGTTAAAAAGGATGGCGTAATGTATGTCAATGTACAAATGTACGTATACATATATATGTATGCGCATAAAATGAGAACGAACATCTATATATAGCCATTTTGCGAGTTTTGCTGCGAAATAAAGACCCTAATCGATCTCTAATATCCCAATGCAAGAGACATTTGATTATCTAAGTGTCGGTCCACAATAAGTATTTAATCTTTAACCCATAAGAAATTGACCAATCATAGTCGATTATTCTTTTCATTCGATTATAATTGGTCAATTTCTTACATCTTAAAGCTTAAATCACCTATTGTGGATCGACACTAAGTGTCGGTCCACAATAAGTATTTAATCTTTAAGCCGTAAAAAATTGACCAATCATAGTCGATTATTCTTTTCATATTCGATTATAATTGGTCAATTTCTTACGTCTCTTAAAGCTTAAATCACTTATTATGGACCGACACTAACGCAGATATAGAGATTTTATAATGTGCATTACAATGTGTGAATGAAAGTACACACGTGCGCGCATGCTCACGCACATCACGCATGAGTATGTATGTATGATTGTATATACGCATATGTAGTAAAAGGAGATTACATTAGGGTGACTTTCATCAACCTCCAGTTAAGTTAATCAGCCGTTTATTCCATTGGAATTGACCAATCGCAATTTGTCCACAAATTTAACAACAAATATAATTGGTCTTAATCGGAGGTGATGAAAGTCACCCTTGAACTAGCAAAAATGCTAATTCAAGAGTACAGTTTCACAGGACGCATTGTCGTGATGCTGGATAGTAATTTTTGAGCTATAGCTTTTTGTCAGCCTTTTTTTTATAAACTATATTGAAAGGAAACAATGATCGAGCAATCGACTTTTTGAATGTAAAATCTAATTGATAGATCAATTGATTAGGTCGATTGTGTTCTTGAAACGATATGAAAATTACAAAAATGAGAAAATTCATTGGAGCATCTGCGATATATAAAAATCTAATAACTTTAAATAATTTTTAACATTAATTGTAGAGAAAGCAACTATCTATGTATTTAGCTGAATATAATTTGCCGAATCAGTTCGATAGAAAAGTAGTTTCGAGTGATCTCGAATAAGCTGACGCTCGATTGGCTGTCGTCTGAGACACGCGTTATTCCCTAGCGTTCTTGCGTGAGGAATGACGAGCCAACCAATCAGCACTCCGTTCTCTCGCGCGGGACGCTTTTGCGACGCGACCGTCACGATTCGCGGCATCACGAGCGTTGCGTGTATTGCGGATTGCGGGTTTGGTTATAAATCCCGCCATCTCCGTATCTGTGGTCGCACAAGTTTATCCGCGATCGTCAATGTTCGTTACTCCGTCGGCGGTCGAATTCGCGAGGTAAACCGATTTGCGTACCGGCACTATAAATCACACGAGAAAACCGAGTGGGAAGATGTGATAACGCTGCGGCGATCTGCGTGTCTTCTGAATGTTTTGTTCCTTCGCCCGCTTACAACGCAGGCGTTGATTATATTTTCGTATTAGAGAGAGAGAGCTCCTGTAACCGCGTGCGTGAGTAAAAATCCAAACGCCAAACCATGGCAAACGTGTCTCTCGACAAAGATATGTTTTTCCGGCGTATGAAGCGCCTGTACGCCGCGTGGAAGGTAAGCGCGTAAATTGCATAATATACCGCCAATGACTCCGGCGCGTTGAATTCTGAATTGTCGCGTTCTCTTATCCTCAATCTTTTGTTTTCAACAGGATGGAGAAGTCGGTACCGATGACAGTTTCAGCAAAATGGATTGTCTCATTTCTGCTGTTGGCACTGATGAAGATATTGTTTACAGCAAATCCATAGCATTGCAGGTACACCTATGTTTCAGATTTATAAACTTTACAACTTACAATTCTGTCTCTCATTTGTTACAAATATCTGTTAAAAGAAGGTGGTACATATGCTAATTTTTTTAATGTTCAGTTCTATCAAATTAACTTTAACTCTATTTAATTCTTAATTTTTTTCTAATTTTTAGAACTAAAAAAATAAAAAAATAAGTTAAACCGAAATTAAAGTTAATTAACATCAGTAAGAGATATATGATTGAACGTGTGTATAATTAATCATTATTTGTATATTTTTTCACTATTTATCTAAGAATATTGCATGAAATATTACATTTGATATATTTTTATAAATTAGTTTTTTAATATTTTAGTTTTTATATATATCCTATTTGTTAGAAATATATATATATATATATCATTTATATATTAATAATTTAAAATTATTTTATATTGAAGAAATATGTACCAGAAAAACTATATGCCTTGTTGATTGAGAAATGAATTTATTATAATATATATATATATATATATGCTTTGTTTCAGACATGGCTCCTCAGTTACGAACTTACAGATACTATAATGATATTGGCAGAAGAATCTATTAATTTCTTGGCCAGTAAAAAGAAAATCGAATTTCTAAGAAAAGTGGAAAATCAGAATACTGAAGATACAGGAGTACCACCTGTGAAATTATTTGTGAGGGATAGAGTATGTACATCATATTATAATAATTGCATATATGATAATTTTATTATTGAGTATGGTGAGAGCAATATTTGGTGGTAAGCAATATTTGGATATTTTTCTTATAGGTTGATGAAGATAAAGGAAATTTTGCAAAACTTATTGAAGTGATGAAACAAAGTAAAAAAGGCAAAACTTTGGGAGTGTTTTCAAAAGAAAATTATCCAGGTGCTTTTATGGATGCATGGAGGGCCACTTTAAAAAATGAATCTTTTGATACGGTAAATGGATGAAATGTGTGATAGAAAAATTTAGTAAATATATATGTATAAATTGAAAAAATAATTCTTAATTTTTATGTCAGGTTGATGTAAGTGCTGCCGCTGCTTATGTCATGTGCCCAAAAGAAGATAGTGAAATAATTACTATAAAGAAAGCTTGTCTAATATCTGTGGATGTTTTTACCAAGTACCTTAAAGATCAAATAATGGAAATCATAGATTCGGATAAGGTATATTTTCTTTAGTTCTATATAAAATCATATATTCATTACAAATATTTATAAAAAAAGAAACAAGATATATAAGAAAAGTAAATAATACACTTTACTTTCAGAAAGTTAAACATTCAAAATTGGCAGAAGGTGTAGATACAGCTATTACAAATAAGAAATATGTAACTGGAGTAGATATTACACAGGTAGATATGTGTTATCCTGCGATTATACAAAGTGGTGGAAATTATTCGCTTAAATTTAGTGCTGTTAGCGATAAAAACACTACTCTTCACTTTGGTGTTATTGTTTGTTCATTGGGCGCACGTTACAAATCTTACTGTTCAAATATAGTGAGAACTCTGTTGGTTAATCCCACAAAAATAATCGAGGTATGAAATGGGCACATTTATATCAAAAAACATAAGTATTCATATTACTAAAATTATAAAAAAAGTATACAAATGATTCTATAATTTATAATTGTTACAGGAAAATTACAATTTCTTGTTACAACTAGAAGAAGAGATCTTGAAAAAATTAACTGCAGGAACAAAAATAAGTGAAGTATATGAGACTGGTATCAAGTTTGTGAAAGATGAAAAACCAGAAATGTTAAATCATTTAACTAAGAATTTTGGATTTGCTATGGGTATTGAATTTAAAGAAAGTTCTTTGCTATTGGGTCCGAAAATTCATGCAATAACTAAAAAGGGCATGGTATTTAATGTTAATGTTGGTCTTGCAAACCTTACCAATCCAGACGCAACAGACAAGGAAGGGAAAACATATGCCCTTTTCATAGGCGATACAGTTATAGTGAATGAGGGACAACCTGCTACTATTTTGACTCCTTCGAAGAAAAAAGTAAAAAATATAGGTATATATGTGAAAGATGATGAAGATGAAGAAGAAGAGGGCAGTGGAAAAGAGAATGAACCAAAGCCGGAAATCTTGGGACGTGGAAAAAGAACAGCTGTGATAGAATCAAAGTTGAGAACAGAGCATAGCTCAGAGGAAAAAAGAAAACAACATCAAAAGGAATTGGCTCAACAATTGAATGAAGTTGCTAAAGCTCGGTTGGCCCAACAGTCTGGTGGTAAAGAACAGGAGAAGATACGTAAATCAACAGTATCTTATAAAAGCTTGAGTCACATGCCACGCGAACCAGAAGTCAAAGAATTAAAATTGTATGTGGATAAGAAGTATGAAACTGTGATTTTACCTATCGCTGGTATTCCGGTACCTTTCCACATATCAACAATTAAGAACATTTCACAATCAGTAGAAGGAGATTATACGTATCTTAGAATAAACTTTTTTCATCCGGGTGCAACGATGGGACGAAATGAAGGTGGATCTTACCCTCAGCCTGATGCAACGTTTGTTAAGGAAGTAACATATCGAAGCACAAATACCAAAGAGCCTGGCGAGATTTCCGCACCATCGTCAAACTTAAATACAGCCTTTAGACTAATTAAAGAAGTCCAGAAGAAATTCAAAAATCGGGAAGCGGAAGAGAGAGAAAAAGAAGACCTTGTAAAACAAGATACCTTAATATTATCGCAGAATAAAGGCAATCCAAAATTAAAAGACTTATATATTCGCCCAAATATTGTTACAAAAAGAATGACTGGCGGTTTAGAAGCGCACACAAATGGATTCCGTTATACTTCAGTTCGTGGGGATAAAGTGGATATTCTTTATAATAACATTAAGAATGCTTTCTTTCAACCGTGTGATGGTGAAATGATTATATTGCTTCATTTTCATTTAAAAGTATGTATAATAATTGTTATATTGAGTGAATATTATTTAAATATTAACAAATAAGAATGATATTAATTTATACGCATGTTTATACAAATTTTAGCATGCTATTATGTTTGGTAAAAAGAAACATGTAGACGTACAGTTCTATACCGAAGTTGGAGAAATTACTACAGATTTAGGTAAACATCAGCATATGCATGATCGAGATGATCTTGCAGCTGAACAGTCGGAACGAGAACTAAGACATAAATTAAAAACTGCTTTTTAAAAGCTTTTGTGAAAAGGTATATATAAATTTGATTTAACATCATTTTAATTTATCACTGATTGATATTTCCGTCGCGTAATAATATATATCTCAATTATATAAAGGTTGAAGGAATGACAAAACAAGAGATAGAATTTGATACACCATTTCGAGATTTGGGATTTCCTGGTGCACCATATAGGAGTACTGTTTTGCTTCAACCAACTAGTGGATGTTTGGTTAATTTAACAGAATGGGTAATGTTTTTATATATTTCAAGACAGTGAATATTACATGCTATTACATGCTATTACATGCAATATTATATTTTATTTCAGCCTCCATTTGTCATTACCTTGGAAGATGTTGAATTGGTCCACTTCGAAAGAGTACAATTTCATCTAAAGAACTTTGACATGATTTTTGTCTTCAAAGATTATCATAGAAAAGTAGCGATGGTAAATGCTATTCCTATGAATATGCTAGATCATGTCAAAGAATGGTTAAAGTAAGTAAAATTATATAAATTATATAAATTAACAATCTATACTAAATTAAAGTATAACAACAATTTTCTTAATTGTTGTTAAATTTATGATTTCTTATTTAGTTCATGTGACATTCGGTACTCTGAAGGTGTTCAATCTTTAAATTGGACGAAGATTATGAAGACTATAACAGATGATCCTGAAGGCTTCTTTGAAAGTGGAGGATGGACTTTCTTGGATCCAGAAAGTGATGCTGAAAACGAGGAAGTTGAAGATGAAGAAGAGGAAGAAGATGATGCTTATGAGGTTCGAATGCAAATTGAATTTTCTCAAAAATATATGATGTGATATATATATA